CTCCTCTGCTTTTCGAAGGACGCCCCTCCATTGCCCGGTTGCAGAGTAACTCGCTTTCTCTTAGGTTGCACTGTGGTCCATTCCGCCTCCTTCCCCCGGTCTCCCTTCTTAGGTAGTGTGGTTTGTGGGCTCTGTTGCTCCTGCCCCGTCCCTTGGCCCCCTTCGTTCATTCTTACTTCCAAGGGTTTCGGTGGGGCCCATGCATCCGGAGGTCGGGTATCCCAGTTTGGTTCCCCGGTGCCTTCCCACTCCCAGCCCTTGAGTGACCCACCCCTCTGGGCTCTTCCACGTAAGTCCACCCCTCATGGCCCGGATCCACCGGGTGCCATCGGGTGGTTCTGAAAGGGTCCCGTTGCAGCCGTCCCGTGGTGCTGGCCATTCGAGCGGGGTGAACCAGGCAAGGATCATCAGTACACAAGTTGCCATAGCTCTTGCATTTAAAACACCATGACCGTAACTTGTGAGCGGTATGGATTTTGTACTCTTTCTCTCTGATTCTGTACAGAATGACATCATCAATGGCAAACGGGGGGTTTGTGGGGACATCCAGGGCCAACATGAGATAGTCGTCCCGTTGTGCCACAAAGGAGGGGAGGGGATCGATGAAGTCGAGAATCTTATAGCGTTGTCCCAGATCTTGTAAGAAGGTGGCTTGAATTTCGACCAGGATATGACGAAATTCAACCCAAAAATGTCGTGCCATCATTTGCGCCCTCCGCTCCTCTGGTCCTAGCTGTTTTGGGGGAGACCACAGATAGATTCTCACTTCCGACCACATCTTATGCTTTTCCATCCATCCATAACTTGTTCGTCCTTTTCATACATAGACAGAACCGTGAAGGTGGTGGGGGAGAGGGGTTGAATGAGAAAGGAGTCTCTAGCCGCCTCTGCATCACGTTCTAGTGTTTCGAGACGTAGTCTTATCCACCTTATTTTATCATTCGTTGATTTGGATGCTGCGTCATCAAAGAACACCCAATTGCTTGCGTGTTTCTGATAGACCCATCCCTATTTTCCAACTTCTCTGTCGGGAAGGTTTTCACCAGCACTTTCTTTCCCCCTTGTTCCACCACCTTGGAGTCAGATGCACATAAGAATTTGGTTAAGAAGAAGGCCCGCGCCGAGGCCACGTTATCCAGGGGGATATGCTGATTGGGGTCACCAACTGTGCCAATCCCCCTTGGAATCACGACGGTTTTGCCCCGGAACGGCTTCTTTACTATTTCTGCCCAGGATCCTGACTGGGATGCTTCCCTGCCACCTGACTCAGGGGCCTGTAACTCTCCTGCCCTTCCTTGCCCGGGAGACGCCTGAGATTTCTTTGTCATCTCTGCCCAAGACCCCTGTCGTGGCGTTTCCTTGACATTTGCACTGGTACCATCTCCCAGTTGTCCCTCCTCCGTGACACTTGTCCCTTTTTGCATGGTTGGTGTTGATTGGTTTCGACCAAGGCCAATTGTGCTCTGGTCTATGTGACCGGGGGGTGGGGCCAGCGGATGAACCGCCCCTACCATATTGGTGTGGGGGTGTTCCCCCTGGTGATTCTCCTGCTCGGTCCATTGTGCTAGCGCCATCTGTCCGGCCAGGGGAGCCGGTTGGCCTTGTCCCAGCTGTCCAGGGTGTACCGTCGAGGGCTCGGGGGGGGGGTAAGCGTTCCGCCCCCGAGTTAACCACTTATTTTTTAGGGACTCCCCGTTTAGAGGCTGCTCGCAAATGAGAGGCCATGATCTGACGCATGGCTCCCTTGTAGAAGATCATCGAGTCAAGCCGCATGTTCCTTTTCTTCCTTCGGTGCGTTCCCGCAGGCCTGGTCCCGGGGTCTGGTAGGAGCTGCCCATCTTGGCCCACCATAAAAAAAAAAAAAAAAAAAAAGGAAAGTCATGAGCTCGAAGGTAGATTGTATTACATCTACTTGAGGTCACGAGTAATCAGCCCTATCGGGCCCTGCACACTCGATTGCTGTCGTGCACGTGTATCAACTCGGGATAATGGTCATACACATGCGCATCGGGTTGCTTACTGCCTCGAGTAGGTGCCCATCCCCGTGCTACTACCGTCTTTAGATGCTCGCCATCTTCAGCCGTCTTTCTCATGCATACACGTGCCCGCGGCGCATACAACCCACCTTCAGAATTAGAAATCCTATTCTATGTGTCCTGTTATATTTCCACCGGTGAATTCTGCATGGATGGCGATCGGGGAAGTGAATCAGGGAGGGGAGAGGAGTGATCAGGGTTGGCTGCGTACATACCTTCACGCCTGCGCGTCCCCGAGGAAGGGATGCAATACCCCCCAGGCTGGTGCCCCTCCGGCCTGGGGTTCTTGCTCCTTCCTGCTCCCCGATGGGTTGCCCCCACTTCGAGTCTCTCGCTGGCCGTATCACCACATTGACCCCGGGTGTCCGCCCTCCACCCACCTGCCCCCCACCCGCTTCCTCTTGCACATACTGCTTCTCTCCCCACTACCCCCGTTGTCCCTTGTCCCCGTGTTGTACAGCGGGCTGTAGTCGCCGCCTTCTTTTTCCTTCCGTGATTGACCTGCACGTGCTGCTTTTCGCCCTACTACACGTGTCTCTTGTCCTCCTAGTGTTGTATAGCGGGTGGTAGACGCCTCCTTCCTCTTTCCTTCCGCGATACACCAGGTCGCCCGCCAACATGTCTGTGCCCGGGTCTTCCGTTCCTCTCCACACTCTCGCTCTTCCCTGTCGGTGATGCCGGTTTCCGCTACTCGTCTTCCTTCTTGCACTGGCTGCCCGTGGGGGGATGCTTCCTCTGTCGGCTATGGCCGTCGCCTTTCAGCAGGCCGAAGTCAACTCCCCCACCCAGCGGTCAAACCTCAGGGGCCGTCGCTGTCCGGCGGCGCCGCTCTTAGGTCAAACCTGCCGTCGCTGCAAGGGCCGGTCGGGCCTGCCTTCCTGTCGCAGCGCGGCGCTAGTGCCGGAGTGTCGTGTCCGTGGTGTCTAGTTGCACGGTATGGACCTTCCCATCTTGGTCCTGCGACCCTTCCTCCCCTCTCAGCCTGTTTCAGGTGTGGTAAACCCAAAGTTAACACAGGAACCAACTGTCCTGTAGCTCAGTTGGTACACCCCCCCTGGATGAATTGTTGAAATGCAGACACCTGAGTTCGAATCCAGATGAAAAGAAATGATTAATGATTAAAATTTTGACAATTCTGAATGGGCCAAGTCAGTTGCATGATGATATGGGGCAGGTCAGTTGCCCTGGCCCTTTTTTTTGAGAAACAAAGGAAAGGAAAAAAAAAAGAAGTAAAACAGGATCTCCTCCTCCTGCAGCAGCAGTATAAGAGAGAGAAAGGAGGCCAAACAGTGCTTGTCGTGCATGCTTGCAATGAACAAGCACTGTTATACCTTCTTTTTTTTTCCTTCTTTTTTTGGTAATATCATGTGGTCTGATGGACCACGGATCTGATATTAAACCGATCGGAACAGATACATTGTACTTGATCTTGACACAAAAAGAGGGCTGAGAAAGGTGCGCAAGCACTACACTTCCTTCTTCTTCTTCTTCTTCCTCCCCCCCCCCCTCCCCCAAGGACTACACTTCCGCATGCACTGTACTCAGAAAACGCGCACATTTTTGCGCTATCGGTTAATACTCCTTTGGGCATTTATCTTTTTTTTTTTTTTTTTGGAGGGGCGTCACAGCCCCTCGTTGTTGTCCTCTTCTCCCTCTCTGCCTACGGTTTGACGATATATATATATAGATGAGTCGGTGAAACTCCGACAAAAAAGTTTGTCACAGCCCCTCGTTTGTTGTCCTCTTCTCTCTCTCTGCCTACGGTTTACCGGGCAGTTCTGTTTGTGACGATATATATATATCCTTAATATATATCCTTATTCTGGCAGATCAATCGTATGTAAGAAAACCATAGCAGGGAACACGACCACGGTTCCAAATGCTGGACCATTTGTCTAAACCAGGTTCAACGTGTGTCCTGAAGCATCAGCAAGGAAGGGCACACGCGCTGGCGGCATTTGTTGCAATGCTGTGATGTGCTGTCACTGGAGCTTCACGCACAGAATCACAAACCTGATCTTGCTGTGCTCAAGGTCAAGGAGGTAAGAAGTCTGCCACAGCCTCCCCAAACATTTCTTGTTCTTTTCTCCCTTTCTACCTAGAAACGGTTTGCTGGCAATCTCCGGTTCTCTGTGACTATAACATCATGGCAATTGGCCCCTTGCTATTCCGGAAAGTGTCGATCTCATTCCAAGTCCAACAAGAGGAGGGGTGGCGAGGAGGAGAAGGGTGGAAGGGAGGGGGGGAAGGGAGGAGTGGGAGTGAGAGGGTGGGTGGGGGGTGCACCGGAAAGAAGAAGGCAAGGCTTGGGGGTAAATTTTATGCAAGGCTGCAGAACCTTGTCTGTGTATGCTACTTTCCAAAAATCAGGCCATACTCACAATAGGGCTTTCCGGGATGTATCTGACCACTTTTACGGCCAGTAGTGGATGTATCTGACTGCAAGTATTTCCCAGAATCACTCAACAAGTCATAGTGAATATGCCCTCACAATCATATTCTCCTCCCTCAGAAGGAAGGCTCGGATATTGTCGGAGTGATCTATGCAGCACCCTTTCTTCTTCTTCTTCTTCCTTCTTCTTCTTCTTCTTCTTCTTCTTCTTCTTCTTCTTCTTCTTCTTCTTCTCCTTCTTCTCCTCCTCCTCCTTCTCCTTCCTCCTTCCTCCTTCCTCCTTCCTCCTCCTCCTTTTATCCACTTCTTATCTACTTGTTCTTATCCACTTGTTCTTATCCACTTGTCCTTATCCACTTGTTTTTATCCACTTGTTCTGATCCACTTCTTTTCCACTTCTGATCTTCTTCTGATCTTCTTCTTATCCACTTCTTACCTGTTGCAGCCGGTGGTCATACACATAATGAGGCGGTTTGGTTGCCGATTATGCCGGATGGGAGCAATGGAATTGAGCCGGGCCTGGCCGCATCTACAGGCGAACAACATTCGGGTCGTTGGGATTGGGCTGGAAACCTTGGATGTCGATGACTTTGTTGGCGGGCGGTTCTGGGCGGGTGATCTCTACCTTGACGAGGACAAGAAAATCCCGGGAGCTCTCGCTCTGAGGCGATTTAGTCTGTTTCGAGCAATCATCGAGCTGTTTTTCAACAGGCGGACAAGGAAAGCGATTTCCAGATCCGCCAACATCTCTGGAAACCTGAAGGGCGATGGCCTGTGAGTATCCACGGCGCATCTTGTTTGTCCGACAAATGTATATAACATCAAAGCTTTGTGAAACTTTTGGCTGTCATCTCAGTGATCTCACACCTCTGAGTTAGAATCCTGACCTCCTCAGACCGCTTTCTGGGATGTATCTGGCCACTTTTACGGCCAGTAGTGGATGTATCTGACTGCAAGTACTTCCCGTAAGGGCCAGAACCAGAGGTGTGTGCAATGTTTCGGTTGTTTCTATCGGCGGCCAGGTACAGTCTGTTTGTTCCATGTCCTGTTCGTACACCCGAACTCGTCGCTTAACGCATATAACCAGAGCAGCAAGGTGTTTTCTTCAACTCTGGTGGTGCTATGTTTGTGCTATGTCTGCGCTATACTTGTGCTATGTCTGCGCTATATTTGTGCTATGTCTGTGCCTTGTTTTGTGCTATGTTTGTGCTATGTTCGTGCAATGGCTGGTGTTTTCTTCAGCTGTGGTGCTGCAATGTTTGTGATATGTGTGTGCCTTTTTTTTTTTGCCATGTTTGTGCCATGTTTGTGCNATGTTTGTGATATGTGTGTGCCTTTTTTTTTTTGCCATGTTTGTGCCATGTTTGTGCTATGTCTGTGCTATGTTTGTGCAATGGCTGGTGTTTTCGTCAGCTCTGGTGGTGCTATGTTTGTGCTATGTCTGCGCTATACTTGTGCTATGTCTGTGCAATATTTGTGCTATGTCTATGCCTTTTTTGTGCTCTGTTTGTGCTCTGTTTGTGCTCTGTTTGTGCTCTGTTTGTGCTCTGTTTGTGCCATGTTTGTGCTACGTTTGTGCTATATTTGTGCACTGGCTTGTGTTTTCTAGCTCTGGTGGTGCTATGTTTGTGCTCTGGTGATGCTATGTTTGTGCTATGTCTGCGCTCTACTTGTGCTATGTTTGTGCCATCTTTGTGATATGTCTGTGCCTTTTCTTTTCTTTTTTGCTATGTTTGTGCTATGTTTGTGCTACGTTTGTGCTATGTTTGTGCTATGTTTGTGCTATGTCTGTGCTATGTTTGTGCAATGGCTGTGCCGCTGGTCCTATGTTTTGTCTCTCTATCTGTTGGCGAACAAAGTGTGTGGTCCCCCACCTGTTGCTGGGCAAGGACTGTGTGCTTGCCAGCGTTCCGCTGTCATCATACCGTCTCATGCTGCTTTCTTTTCTTCCTTTTTTTTTGTTTGAAAATGTGAAGGAACAGAACCCCTTCCCAGCCCGTGTGGCTGGATGGTACACCCTTGAAGTCACTGTGTTGAGAAATAGACCTCAGCTCGAGTCCTGATGGAATCAGATGAACAAATGAACTCTGAATTACCTGGGGCCAGTCAGTTACGGTGACGATACCTCGAGGCTGTCGCCCCGTTGCAACCTTCAAAGTCGCCCCTGCCCCCCCCCCGCCCCCTTTCCTGTCACAATCACAGAGAGAGAATCGTGGAGGATTCGATACGATCTCACGTCTTATCGGCCAGATTACCCCATTTGGTATAATACACTAATAGGTAAGAAGGTCCTGCTATCCAATAAAGGAAAGTGGACAAAGTATAACCTCTCCTTTTTGGAGTTACTCCCATCCCCCTTTTGGACTTCGTCCCTTCCCCTGTAGAGTTGTTCCCTTCCCTTTTGGATTTATTTGAGTTTTATTCCCTTCCTTTAGACTTAGCATATCATGCACTTAGCATGCAGGAGCCTGCTACTCGAGCCCATCTAAACTTTGCCGAAGCATTGCAGTAGCATGCACTTAGCATTGCAGCAGCATCCATTTATCATGGCATGAGCATGTGCTTAGCATGGCATTAGCATATACTTAGTATGGCATTAGCATGCACTTAGTATGGCATTAGCGTGTGCTTAGCATGGCATTAGCATGCACTTAGCATGGCATTAGCATGGCAGTAGCATGGTATTAGCATCCATTTAGCACGGCAGTGCCAAGTGCATGCTACTGCAATGCTTCGGCAAAGTTTAGATGGGCGTGAGTAGCACACTCCTGCCATGCTAAGCGCATGGTATGCTAAGTGCATGGTATGCTAAGTGCATGAGATGCTAATGCCATGCTGAGTGCATGGCATGCTAATGCCATGCTAAGGGCGTGCTCATGCCATGCTAAGGGCGTGTTAATGCCATCAAAAGGGCATGCTCATGCCATGCTAAGCGCATGCTAAATGCATGGTATGCTAACGCCATGCTAAGTGCATGGTATGCTAATGCCATGCTAATGCCATGCTAACACCATGCTAATGCCATCGTATGTTAATGCCATTGTATGCTTATGCCATTGTATGCTAATGCCATGCTAAGCACATGCTGATGCCGTGCTAAGCGCATGCTAATGCGCTTAGCATGGCAGTGGCATGCACTTAGTCGTAACATCCGTTTAGGATGGCATTAGCATGTGCTTAGCATGGCAGTAGCATGCACTTAGCGTTGCAGCAGCATGCACTTAGCATTGCAGTAGTGTGCATTCTGATCCCGCGCTAATGCTCAAGACCATATACACTTTGCCGAAGCGGGGCTGTCCTTGAGATGGGAACCCAATACCGGTGTAGGAGTCAACAGTCAACAGTCAACAGCCAACAGCTAATATTTTACTATTTACTATTTAGATGATGTTGGAGTGCAAAGCATAGTAAACAGGCTCCCTTATCGTCGCCCCCCGTTTCCAGCGTTTTGACGGTTGGTTATTTGTCGTGTTCATCGTCTGTCAAATGATTGCAGGCAATTGGGCGGAACCTTTGTCGTAGATAAAGGAGGTGGATTGCTGTTGGATTTCCGCCAAAGGCATTTTGAGGACCTACCGACTCCCAAAGAGTTGTTCGGAGCTCTCCGAATCCGTGTCCCACCAGAGTTCGAATCTCACCGTTGGCACGTTGACGACGGCAAGGACAGCGGAGGCGTGGAGGAAACCCTGAGGCAGAATCCTTGCTTAACTGGAACAGCTTGTGCCTAGTAGTTTTTTAATGTTCGTTTTATCACCTTTTGAAGTTTTGATACTTTTTAAGTTTTAAGTCTTAACTCTGTACGCTTTCCTCTTTTTTTTTTTTTCCCCCCTCAAGCATCTGTATTTGATATTTTATTTCACGCTCGTCAAAATTTCTATGACTTTGAACTGCCCCATGCAGTATGAAGGCATACTCATGCTGCGGTTTTCGTGCATGGATCTGACCACAATTAAGGCCAGATTCAATTGAAAAAACGTGGCTGAAGTATGGCCTTAGTCTTTTCTCCCTCCTTTTAGACCGACGCATTTCTTGGAATCAGTGGCAAAGCACTTTGACCAGTCCTCGGGGCCGCCTTCCCTTCCTTTGCTCGACGTTTTCTCTGCTCCGGAGGTGAGCATTTTTTTTTCTTGTACCCCCTCCTCGCCGCGCATACCCACCCCCACGAGGGCCCAAGCTGCTCCTGCCCACCCCCCCCACACACAGACACACACACACACACACACACACACACACAGAGAGAGAGAGAGAGAGAGAGAGANAGAGAGAGAGAGAGAGAGAGAGAGAGAGAGAGAGAGAGAGAGAGAGAGAGAGAGAGAGAGAGACAGAGAGTTACTCCGTCGAAACAGTTTGTCACAGCCCCTCGTTTGTTGTCCTCTTCTCCCTCTCTGCAGTTCTGTTTTACGATATAATATATTTATATATTTATAAATTATATATGTATAAATATATGTACAGGCTCCTGATGAGTCGGTGAAACTCCGACGAAATAGTTTGTCACAGCCCCTCGTTTGTTGTCCTCTTCTCCTTCTCTGCCTATGGTTTACCGGGCAGCTCTGTTTGACGACACACACACACACACAGAGTGAGAGAGAGAGAGTTGATTCGTGGTTTGCGAGAGATGTTGAGAAGGTGAGATATCATACACAAACGGTCATAGATCGCAAGTCTGAAAATAATCGACACAACTTTATTATTATGAAAAAGAAAATAGAAATCGATCCAAGACCTTCTGGGCAATGAAGTTGAATCTGACTGACTCGGGAAAGGGCGTAAGAGGGATGGGAAAGGGAATGGCAAGCTGACAGTCAATCCTCCTGTTAAGGAGTATTCAATGCTGTTCAGGGGTCCTCCGGCCAAATGGAACGAAGCGTGAGTGTGTATACGTTGTAAATTTTGACTTGCCGGTGGAAAAGGAACCGGACTGATGGGCTCCCGAGAAAGGATAGGTAGCCAGGACTGTAAGGACCTGTTCTTTTTCTGCTTTTTTTTAACTTTTTTTTCTTTTCTTTTCTTTTTTTTTCTTTTTTCTTTCTAAGTCTCCTTTTCAAAAATCCCTATTCTTGCAGTGTACTGAATAGTGTCCTGATGGATGCATGCACCACCAAACTAGGACTGTGTACAGAGTGATCCACGGGAGCTGTGGAATTGGGCTCGAGAATCGCCACTTCTCCCCACCTGTCTTCTCCGCTTGACTGAACCGTCTCTCCGCCATTCTCTTCCTGGATAGTAACTGGTATGTAATATATATATATATATATATTTTGTGACGATATATATAAAAAATATATAATATATTAAGGTGGATTATCACTTACAGTGTAATCAGTTAGGGGATTCTGCAGACTGTTGAGGGTTCAGCCTCCTGATGAGTCGGTGAAACTCCGACGAAACAGTTTGCCACAACCCCTTGTTTGTTGTCCTCTTCTCCCTCTCTGCCTACGGTTTACCGGGCAGCTCTGTTTGACTATATATATATGACGATATATATAATAAATATAATATATATTTGCTGGCTTGTGATGGGGCGTGAACCGACAGCTGTCTCTTATACACATCTAGATGTGTATAAGAGACAGCACACACACACACCTTTCCAACTCTCTCTGTCCACCCCCATCTAATCGTACGTCCAATGTCACCCATCCATTTTCCTATATTTTATGCCACGCAAACACATGGAGGCAACGTTTTTCACTGCCCTCATGCTTCGCTTACACTTCCATCTACTTATCATTGTATATATTTATCAGCCTTACAGGCTTACACATATAATTTTCCATGTCACCGTATTTTTCCGTCGCCGTTTTTTGAACTTTTTTCCTTTTTGTGTTCATTTTGTAAAGAATGAGGTCTGTCCTATGCGTTGAACACGACACCATTGGGAGAAAGAAGACCTGGATTGAAGTTTGAACACACAAAGAATAGGAAAATGATCGCATCACCATTGGGAATGAACACAACACAACACCGTTTCCTCGACTGTTAGAACAACTTCGCAAGGAATGATCGCATCGTGATGGGAACTGCGTCACCATCTTGCTTGCTAAATCATGGATATGGGTTGGGAGGAGGAAGGCAAGCTAACGGCTGTGGCAAGCGATCTTTTGCCATTACTCGGCAGTTTTCCGTGAACTGCACAATACCCGATATCAGCGCGATGCTATGTCAAAGGACCCTGTAAATGTAATGCTATACACGCATCAATTCGCAGCATCTGTTGCTGTACTGAGTGTACTCATCTGTTTTTGTTTTTGTTTTTGTTTTTGTTTTTTCGGTGCAGGATTTTCTCTTGCTTAATCATCTGTTCATATTTCTACTAATTTTCTAGTATATTTCATGGCACTGTTAGGATCAGTGCATTACAGCAGTACAGAGTTTGTGAACTTATGCCTTGGAGATCTGGAAGAATGTGGACATCATTATGGATCCCCGTACACGGCCGTTGTAGAGGAAGAAGAGAGTGGCTGTCCTTGTCGCACAGCATACTTGTCACATCGTGTGGACAGACAGATTGATAGGCACAAAAACAGGCAGAGACAGAGACGAAGACAGAAATAGAGAGAAGCCAAGACATAAACAGAGGCAGTAACACACCCACACACCCACCCAC